CAGGAAAACAAATAGAAACAAGAGGTGAAGGTATGTAGACAGCACTCAAATATCCACTTTGATTTTCTGTGAAGAATATAAAGCATCACTCATTAATCAGTTAATTATCTCACTAGGAAATGACTGTATATCCATTTAGTCAATCTCTTCTACTGATGACTCAAAAAATCATGAACATGATATCAACAAATAAGAGAACCAGTCTTCTTGAAAATATCCACTTCCACAAGACCATGAGCATTTGAATGCAGATCATTCACTCTGACAAAGTGTTGAATGGAAATGACACACGAGAGACTCACTGTATAACTTCAAACCAACTACTCATTTGGGAATAGAGGATTATTACCTTTTTGTTCTTGAAATTCTGATTTGAAAAGTGAAACTATAAAGATAGCAACTCCCTGCTCACATTTGCCCATCTGAAGGGGTACAGGAGAATGAATTATCCAGCTTGTGTCCTTCATGAACTGACAGCAAGATTTTCATCAAAGCATTTTACTAAGACTGGAACCTCTTAAAGGCAGTGAGCTTGCAGTTTTAACACTGAAGGCTCTGTTTGGAAATAATAAGAGGCTGATTTGGCATAAAGAAATCAGCAATAATTCTACTATTAAATTATACTTTAGGAGAATGAAAGAAAAGAGAGATGAAGGAATAGATAGAATAAGAAAGTAGGAAACTGTCATTGACCCGGCAAGGGAGACACTGAAGGAAAAAACAAAGCCCATAAAATTCGAGACTTGGGAGATGGGAATTCTAGCTTGTCCCACATGGTTAATTTATTCTGGAAAATCTATCAAAAATGGAAATTTAGAACTCCTTTTATTTACCTCTAATGTAATGTTACTTTGTTCAAAAGGTACCAGTCGATTGAAGTGTTACACTTCTTGTGGGGCTTTTTTCTGTCAAACCAAGTAGTAGAGCTTTCTCTTTCATCTTGTGTTTCAGATAGATGATCTCCAGTACTGAAGTGGATAAACTTATCAACTAATTTCACATGCAGCACCGAGAAGTCATCAGATGCTATCAACTCATTACTCATCGGGGAAGATCAAAACTAATGACATGTGAAACTCCCTTTCTTGTTATTAGTCCCCTGAGTCATCCAATTCCCACTGTATTGATCTTCATTTTTTGCTGTCTCCCTCTATATAACAAGCAATACTAATGTAGGTAGCCCCTGTGATTCACCCCTTGGGCTCACCCACCTGTGAATTGTGAGTGAGACGAGCTACTATGACACTGCTTTCCTCTGGAGTCTCGCACTATATCTGACCAGGCTACTGAGGCTGTTGTTCTGCTCTTGGCAGCATTTTTTTATGTTTAAGCACATAAATTACTTATTTTTTACCAAGCAGACTACTACTAGTGCTCAAACAAAAACTGGTAAATAATGACCATATTGATTCATTTGCTAATCAAAGTGGAATATTTAAATATCTTCATGATTTCATAGATAAAAGAGAAATAACCATTTTCTGAGATCAGAAAAAACATTTAATAAAAATTAGATATGATGACAATAATCTTTCTAAAAAATGGGAAAACATAATGTCTTTATGGAAAAGACGCAATATCAGCTTCACATATAGGAATGAGAAAAAACCAAAGACTTTAACAGATTATATTTTCCAGTGAAAGGTAAATTAATGTTTTCATTTTTCTCTCTAACTCAGAAGGAGACGTGAAAAAAAAACCTTTCTACTGATCTTCTTCTCCTATTTTTGTTGGTTCAAGCTGTGACTACTTTCCAAAATTATTGAGCCATGCATCAGAAACAGCCAGTAATAACTAGTAAGAACATGTTTTTCTTGAATGCTCTTTATTCTGTCTCTGTTTGCATTCTTTAATTGAACTTACATTTCTCATAGTTCTCCCTGCTCCTTCAATAAAAGTGCTAGTGTTAAGCACTCAAGCTTACATACCACTCAACTGACACATTCTCCACAGATTTTATTCAGTACCAAGCATATCCAAGTATTACATACTTCAATAAAGCATCACATTGATATTCCATAATGACCATAAGACACCACTGTATCACTACATCATTTTAATGAAATATTCACGTTATGATTAGCTTATGAAACTTTCAGTATTAATACTGACCAACCCACTGCCCCCCACAAAGATCCCCAAAACAAACCCTCAACTATTGCAGTGCTTTGTTGGTAAACTCTGAATGCTTCCTTCTCCTTCAAAGTGAACAGCAAAACTTTGGCATTTGCTTCCTACCTCTCCTTAGTAAAAATAAAAATGATATTTTAGCACTCATTCTATTCTCTATGATTCATATTGCATACTTCCTACATTCACCATTTCAAGTAAGTCTTTTTTTATCCATTTCCAAGTCTAATGGTGAACCATGGGCCAGGCAAATTGCCTTCTCTTTATTGCTAATACTCTAATCAGTGTTAATAAGGAATCATCATGTCAATCTTCACGCAATTATTATTGCTGACCAGCAAGATGTCTATATAAAATATCTTCTTCACTCCTCCAAAACATTTTAAAGGAATGGAGACAACAACCCTTCTTTTGTACTTCTAAATGCATATTCACATAAAAGGAGCAAACTCACCTGCCTACATTTTTCCTTGGAGCCTTAAAAGTTTCAAATTTTTATTTGCTCTCTATGAATATGTGGAATATAAAGCAAAATGATTTCTCATATTTTCAAAATTTCACAAAGTGAAATAATCTTTAACTTAGAATTATATTTTTCTGAAGCTCAACAATGTGCGTAGCATATAGAAGATTATCTGTATTGCAAATGTTTCACTGTGTGGATATTTTACTTCTGAAAACATTTAAGGAATGACTCAGTAAATTAGATAGTATAATCACATCATTTTGTTTATTATAATCACAACATTCTGTTAAATTCAAATACCATTCCCCAGGCTGATTTTGCTAATGCAGTCATCCTTAAATAGATATGGTCAGTAATTTTGCATTAAAAAAGTGACTGCTCTTTCAACTAGGTTCTCACTTGCTGTTTTAAGATAAACTACTATGAAATAAAAGCACACAAAAATAAAAATTAATCTATAACAACATAATCAAAATGCTATTCCATAAGACCCTATTCCTACAGACAATTTATGGACAACTTTAGTTTTTACAAGTTGTTTAAAGGACTCTTACAGATCTTTTCTAAGTGTTAGCAGGAAAATGATTTCACTGTGGTAGAGCTACCCATTTTGCTTCTCCCCACCAAAAAAATCCCAAACAATTGCAAAGCTCTGGTTTTTATGGAACATAATCCTGAACAGATGGCTGCATATAAGACATGCTTTTATGCATAGACATACACACACACACATATATATATGAGCATATAAATATATTATTTTTTTTTTAACTGGAGAGCATCTGCTTTTGATGCTCATTTTGGCCATTTACGTATGGATGCTTTTGTAGGTATTAACAGTACAAGCTTTTATTACATATATTTGCACTATTATCATCACGATCCTTAGACAACAATATTCCCGTGTTTCCTAGCAATCAACAGTTTTGAGTTCAAGCCAAAAAGTTTTGTTTGCTACATAAACTCCTCAGACACTAAATGAAATCTGCTACTCAACACAAAGGTTTGAATATTTCAGATTCCATTCAGTGTAGAGAACTGACAGGAAAGCATATCAATTTAACTAAAATGAAAGTTGTGCTGTTCTGATGGGGCTTTTAGTCACGTCTAGTAAAAATTACAGCCCTGGTATTTGAGGTAGAAAATCTGCAAAGGGAAAAAAATGAACTCTCCTATGATTTTTCTTTCCCTCTGCAATTAATAAAGTTAGTGCATAAATAGAAAAGGTGACTGCTATGTACTACTGTACATATATTCTAACATAATCTTTAAAAGTCTGATGTCTATACCAGCCAAAAAAAGAAAAGATATTTTGGTCTGTCTATTTTGAAATCCATAGCCCACAATGTAAGGCAGAGATTAAAAATTAATATGGATTATTTAATATAATGCCATGCTGAACTAACTCATGGGAAATAAAGGTCCATTCTTCAAAGGCTAGTTTTAGTACAAGTAATTTCTACAATCATGAAGCTATTTTGTTCACTCTTAAGACTCTATCCTTCTTTGTGACAGAATTACTCACTAGCAAAATCATTTCAAAAGTTGAAAATTAAAGTAGAGAATTCTTCTTGCTGTTCTGGACAGTACAAAACTCTATAAATACTTCCTATAAAAGTATTACCTTTTTTATTACCAAAATTGCAAGTGTTACTAGAGTATGGAAAAATTAGGTTAAACAATGTAATTTATTTCAAAGGGCATATATGGAGAGAGAGAGATATATATACATACACACACACAAATACTCATTGGAGTATACATCCACATATATAATGCATAAATTGATGTAGAATTATGTAAATACCTGAATAAATATATCTTAATTAATTAATAAATTGACAGATTTTTGGGCCTATGACAATACTGACTTGGATTAGTTATAAAGTTTACAGCTGTCTTGCAAATCACCATAGACATCTCAGTCTTAGTTCCTCAGGGACAGGCAACCAGCTGCAAAAGCAGATCATGACTGTTGTAATAAGTATCACACCCCCTATTCAGTATCAGTTGCAGAGTGCAGTGATGATTTTTCTTTTGTGCTGCTACTATGGCATTTTTTACCTTCATGTACTGGCCGATACACTAAACTCATACTTGCTACGAAAACTGTCTAAAAAACAGATTCAGATCTGCAATAAAAAAATATTGCCTTTTTGTAGTGAATTAAATATTCCCTTCACTTAATTTACAGGACAAAAATATCTCTGTGTAAGACCACTTCAATCTGAGAGAAACATCAAAAATTTCTATATTTATTCAAACGATCTGGGATGTCTCCTCGAGACCAGATGACTGTGAATTCCCCACAGCACTCATTTAAAAGTGTTTTCCCTTTGAGCATTCCCTTATATAAGGTAGAGTTAAAACTTTAAAATAGTATGAAATTCACTTTGACTCTTACCAGAAAAGACACTGGGGATCTTGGAAAGAAAACTTTTCACTGTGCGAATAGGAATCCCATTTTTCTCATCTTGCATGCGGGCTATGACATCTTCCATCTGAACAGAGAGAGGGAAAAAAAAAGAAAGAAAGAATAAAGAAATCCAGAATTATTTCCTAAAATTAATCTCCAAAAAATCCCAGATCAATCTCTCAGAATGACAGGTCCACTCTTGTTATTTCTTTCTTAACTTATATTCTATATTTTTATTGAACAGGCTACAAACTACAAGTAATTTATTTATGCAAAAGAGTAAAAAAATTTATGTACTCAAAGTCTCTTGAGAAAGAAATAGCAATGCAGAACAACTTAATAAAGTTATATTTAGTTAAAGTAGGTAAAAGAAGTTGTCAAAAATCATTGGCGGATATAAAACTTCATTTTTTGATTGTATTAATGGTATTGTACCACATATAAAAGAAAAATAGACACATACAGACAAAATAGACACATATAGGCTTCTAGGGGACTGATACAGTTCTCAAATAGACTGTTGAAAACAAAAATAAGTAAGTTCAAAGTAAAAATTTCTTCTTTTCTTTAGAGAAGGGAAAAAAATACAGAATGAAGCAATTTTGCATCCTTGGAGACAGCAGAGCCAGAAACGCAAGATTTCTTTCCAGGTAATGAAGTGGGTATAAAAATATTTAAGATTGATTTGCTGATTTTTTTTTTTAATATACTCTTATATTAGCTCAGTTTTTCCAACTCAATTTTTAGGCTAATTTGGATCATATATTTTATAAATTACGCCCAACCCAAAGGTTCACTTTCCTGTGAACTACAAATAGCAAGCCCTTTTACTGGAAAACAGAACAAATATTTGGAGTCATTGGCTTATTTCATTTCTATCATTTCATAATTGAAGTTTACACATTTTCAAATTCATTCTTTCTTTCTTTGAATATCTAACTTCTCAAAATATTCAATGAAATTGTGATAAAATTAATTACAACTATTTTTAACTGAATCACCAAGATACACCATATGAAAAACTCTGTGTGATAGGGCATTTTATAATCTTTTATGAGTCAAAGCTTAAAAAAGTTTTCTATCTCACCTCTATACCCTAATAGATTCCCAAAGAATTCATTTAAAGTTTGTGGCTGGGGTGGGCTGTGGAAGCAGACTAACAGACAAAATTCTGTCATGCACCTTCTCTCCACTGAAATCAGATGACCCACATTAGCAAACAGCAAAGCAGCATTGGGTGCAGCTGTGCATTAACTGGCCCAATAAGTGAGTTGTATAAAGCCAGAAAACAGAACAGCATTTGGGATCACCCATGGTGTCCGTAGGAAAAAGAAAAAAAATCCATACTGAAAAAAACCCAAAATCAATGAGTGCAACTGCTTATGAAAAACCTATTTACACAGAGAGTGTCTGGAGGTTCCCATGCTCCATGTACTTACGGATCGTACATTCACAACCCAAGGAATGCAAATCCAAAAATTTCACAGAAGTAGCTATTGTTAGTAAGATATGAAAAACTGAGCCTATTGCTCAGAATTAAGCAATGTGCAAATGTAACAGAAGAAATGAACCAATGTTCAATTTCAATTAAAGATTCAAAACTATCTAATCCAACATATGCAGGTGCACAGTTTAACTTTCAATATATGTAGTGGCTATTTCTGTTTTAGCTGCTTTAAATTCAGCAAATATATAATCTTTTCCACTGAAAAACATCTCATTTATTTATATTTGGGAAGCAGCAGTCAAGGCACTTCTCAGTCATTCATCAAAAATGACCTAAGACAATGAAAGGGTAGAACAGTTTAATTAGAAAGATGAAAGAAAATCTTAATCTAATTTTGCTCAAGAAGCCTAATCTGGGAAACACATGCTGCTGCCTGATGTAATAATTTTCCTTCCTGATGTATCACTGGTTTTTTGTGAGTCACCTGCCCTGATGCTGAAAAGTAAAATACAGACTTCTTTATTTTACCTCAGAATTAGACTTTCACAGTTCTTTTCATATGTTGTTACCTGGCTAAACCTGACTGTCTCTGATCTTGCAATGGGATCTTTTTCATCTCTAAACATTCTCAAAGAACTCAGAGGAAAAAAATCCACAAATAATTTGCCTCCTGATCATTCCGCAAATTGAACTCGATATACTTGAAAAAAGGAAGTTGTATAAGCACATCTTTTTAGCTTTTTGGTCATCATTATACATCATTAACAGGGAAAGTGTAGCTAGGAAGAAATTTCCAGTGCATCACAGATTCTACAGCCTTTCTAAATAAAAGTATTCTTCAAAATATGTGCAACTTACTTACCAGTGAGGCAATTCTAACTCTGACAAAAACTCACTAACCTTCCAATGCACTGGCAACTCAGAACAAACTTAAAATATTAATATTTAAAACTTCATTTGTCTCCCTGTGAAATAATTTGAAGCCTCATCTTGACATATAAGGACTCTGTGAAATCTATTTCAAAGACTAACTCTATGACAACAGTGACAAAGCATCTTATAATGAAGCAAAAAATAAAGAGGATAGCAATATCCTGTAATAGAAAGACTACAGCTTACAGGAGTCATTGAATAATAACAACTCACTCTGCTCCAAATACACTGGGAGCTAGGCATGCAGGCATGCATGACTTACCCCAGGAGCAGAACCCATACAGAACTAACATGCCTACAAAGTCAGTAGTATCTGACCATGAGGAAAAGAGATTCAAAGTTATCAAATGGGAAATAAAGGTGATGGTTCTCATTGATGTGTGTTGCTAAAAGTCCACTGAAGGACTATGCTTATTAGGGTTTTCTTCTTCAATATGACCATAACAGGCTTCTGCCATATGGGGCATGATTCACCTCTTCCTTCTTTAATCATCACCTACATAAAGGGATTTGTCTTTCTCCATTATTGGCAGTGGAGGTCTTGACTGCAAACCAAAATCAGTATCCTTTAGCTACCTATAGCTAGGTGAAATGAATCTAACTCCTAGGAGTAGAATTCTTCTGGTTCCTTAGGTTTCAGTGCCATGTGGTTTGAGAGGAGAGACACTGATCTTTAAATTTCTATATCTAAATATGAATTTCATTGCTAACCATCTGCACATTGATGCCTTAAGCCCATAATGATTTTTTATTTTTCTACCTTATAAGTTTTATAGGTAATAGAAGTAGATTTTAGAAACAAACCCCTTTCTCCCTCCTCCCTGTAGCACCCCTTAGTTTATACATTCCTTAAGCCTCTCACCCTACCCCCATATCCAGTAGAAGATGTTTTGTCTCTTGTCAAGGCAAGCCTGTCTTGTTTGGAGAACGCTTGTATCTTGGCCTAAACCGCAGGACAGAGTCAAGGAACTGTGTGACTCTGCTCTCTGTACCCCGAAGATGAGGAGGAATGATGAAGAGGGGGTCCCAAAAAGCCCCCCGACCCAATTCCAGGAGGTGGGCCAGGGGGTGGACCAGAGCAAAAGCCACGGGGAGGACACACTTGGGATTGGCCAGATATTGCTATAAATGTAACATCCCAGGCACAGCCCGGCGCGCGTCGTGTAACATCTCTATTGCCTTGGCATAATTAAACCCTTTCTTATCTCACCCCAGCTAAACGGCTCCTAGAATTTTTTTCGTAGCAACAGCAGAGCAGGCATCAACATCTTGCAAAAATAATCAACTTTCACCATAATTCAGCATCACTGCATCTTAAGAAGCAGAGGGGTTTCATTAGTTCAAAGACAAGAAAAGTCAAAAGTGCAAAAGGTTTGCAAGTTCAGGACAACAATTTTTTTATTCCTGTAAAATTGAGCCTAGATCAACTCCACATAAAGATGATCACTAGATACAAGGATTCCAATAGTAGAAAAAGTAATTGGTCTGGAATTAACTGAAATTCAAGAGATATATGGTAAAAACTTGAAGCTTTGACCCACTCAGACATATACAGATATATCAATTTGATTTCTGTTCCTAAAAAAAAATAATTCAGTGACAGGGAATTAAGAGTATACCCAGAGACATTAGAATGAAACTGAGCATAATTTTGTACTCAGTATCGTACCTCAGAACAGGGGATTGCTCTTACATTGAGTGTACTGGGGTCCACCCACACTACAACTTTCTTAATTCTGCTAAAATCTTTCTTCTTCCTTTTACACAAATGCAGGGGTGGAATAACCCAGTGGAACTAACTACAAACCTCATTCAAACTGATTAAGAAGTAAAAAGAGTTACAGTATGTAAAGATTTCTTACACACTATGCAACAAGTTTCCTTAGAGATTTTTTTCCCCTCCTTACTTCCTTAGACATTTTTTCCCTCGCTACTTGAGCATTTTACAGTCTGAAGTTGTTAGTGCAGCTAGCAAGAAGGTTGCAGGAGGTTTCCTTAGCCATACAGAGATACATCAATAACATGGGCTGAACAAAACCTGCAGGGTAGGAGAAAGTGCAATGTTCCTTACAAGGTAATGGCCACTTTTTTTTCTGTTTTCCAACACATGAAGAAGATTAGATAGATAGATAGATCGCTTCTCACCTTATTAGTAATTAGTTTCCTGTACCTGCTCTTCCTTTCAACAGTGCTCTTCTCTTGAACCCCATTGTACTACTTATGCTCTGTCTCGCATGCTGTCAATTGTACTACAAATTTTCTGTTGAGACCTTCGTATTTACATGAATGGCTTAACTACCCCATCAAAGTTTCAGTTTAGGAGCCTCAGTCTTCCCATGTGAGCTGCTCTTTGCCCAGACTACACATACCAACAATCACTGCAATATCCTTCTTTAATCATCACAGTGCCTCCTGAGAGCTGCCCAAATCAGTGAAACAGGGGTCTTGGCTCAGGCTGCATCACTGAGAAGAAAAGAGCACAAAATACAGGAACTACAAATCCCAGGAGGCTGCACTGACAAGCATAGATACAGGCAAACTGATTATCTGATCAAATATTTTGCTCACCAAAGTAAAACAAATAATCTCAGTTTAGGAGTGCTGACAACCATTTTTCTAAATCAAGTGTGTAGAGAAGAGATGGTTTAATATCTCTGTATCAAAGATTTTAGCATTTTACATTTAATGCAGAATTGGGTTATTTC